AACAACCTAGACAGCAGGAAGCTGGAATTGCCAAAAGGAAAAAGAAAAATCTTAGAAACTGATCAATTTCCAGGTGTTGTGACCTATTGAGGAGAATTTTACTGTTTTTCCAGAAATTTTACAAGAGAACTAGTGATAGAAATCTATACATTTTCCCCAAAAAATGAGGCTACAACTATGTCCAGGATAAATTAAAATGTGTGGAAGAAAGGGAATGTGGTCAATTTCTTTCTGAGTTCTGAACAATAATTACAAATGATAGTAACATAACCTCTGAATATTGACTAAAACAAACGTTGTGATGTAACTACATTGGGGCCCTAGCTGGTTTGGCTCAGTGGATAGAGTATAAACATATTCTTTAGCTATATAAAGGTGAAGTCCAGATGAAATTGCAAAAGTGATGAAATTGCTTTCTCTGAGGATAAACGAGGGCCTCTGCTCTACAACTACCAGGATATCATTCATCCCATGCTCTGTGTGAGTGGTGCCCAAGGCACTGACAGGGGAAAAAAGCAGGACTGGACTCCCAATGGTTAAACCCAACTGAAGGTAGTATGAGCAAAGTGGAGTACATAGATCCAGAGATTAGAGATACCATATAGCAAAATTAAATAAGTTAATTAAAACAAAAAATTGAAATAGCTACTTTTTAAATTTTGTTCATATTAGCAAGACAGTAGAATAAAAAAAAAACTGATAGAAAGCTTTTAAACAAAGAACAGAAATTATAAATTAAATTTATTCTAAAATCAATTAAAATGTTTATAATATACACAGGACAGAGGTAATATGACAAAATAAGTTTTAAAATAATGCTTATTTTATTTAGTCATTTTAATACAATGAGGTTAGAAGTTTAAGGTCAGAATTTTTATTTTTATTTTAACAAATATGCTATCATTTAAGGAAATTTCCATAGCATTAAAGAAGAATTTTCAGAAATCCACTACAATATTATATTGTTCTGAAAATGAATTTATACATATGAATATTTCTAAATTATAATAAGTGGCTAAATATATATGACTATGTATCATAACTATGACTAAACCTCTCATAAATAATACCTAAATTTTAATAAATTATTTGGGGGAGAAGATTTAAAATTTATGTGGAAGATCTGAAATGGCCACGAATAAACAAAATTATCTTAAATACAAGAGGAGCCTGGCAGGTATGAGTCAGTGGTTGTGCATCTACACATGTACCAATAGGTCACTGGTTGGATTTGAGTCAGGGCACATGCCCACATTGCAGCTCAATCCCCAGCAGAGGGAGTGCAGGAGGCAACAGATAGATGTTTTTCTCTCATAGATGTTTCTAATTCTCCCTCTCTCTTCCTCTCTCTCTAAAAATCAACAAAACATATATTTTTTAAAAAGAACAAGAGGAGAAGTCCAGCCTTCACATATCAAAATTTTATAGTCGCAAAGATATAAAGTGTTACATTGGTCCAGGACAGAAAAAATAAACCAATGTAGTAGAATAGAAAGCCCAGAAATATTTTCATGCATACTTAATATATGACTGAGGTTATATAAAAATCAATGGCAGAATGATTCACTACCCAATAAATGGATCTGGGTGAAACAGATTTACTACAGGGGGAATGGGGGAGGACGAGAACCTGTAAGGGTCATATTTTTATGATCTTGGTATAGGAAAGGAATTCTTACACAAGATATGAAATAAGCACAGACAATAAAAGGAAGTGCTTGATGTTTTTCACTTTGTTAAAATTACAAACTGCACAACAACAGACATTATAAAATGGTTTTTAAAAATTACCCACAAGTGTACTTGTTGAAAGAAACTATTTAAAATTCATACAACTTTTAAGTCAATAACATACAGGATATTTAAAGTACTCCCACAAATCAACATACTAAACAACCCTATGGGGAAATGAGCAAATAATATAAACAAGCAATTCCCAGAAGAAACATGAATGTCCAATAAACAAAAGAAAAAATGTTCATATCCCCTAATAGAAGAATACAAAAGGAAAGAAAGCAGATTGGCAACAACAACAAAAAACTAATTATCTCTCAATACCAAGTGCTGTTGAAGAAAGCAACAGAAACTTCCACAGTCTTTTGGTAGGAGGGAAAATTTTTAAATACTGCTTTGGAAAAAATTTTGGTTACCTAGGAAAGTTAAAAATGCTCATTAACCACAACCCATGAATTCTAATTCAAGGTTTAGAAACTAGGAAAGCTGCCACAGAGGATACAAGGAAACATGTATAAGAATAATCATTTTAGCATTGTTCATTCAAATTGTATATACAATAGTTCTCCTGAAAACTTTAAATAGAGATATCCCAATTCAATAAGTGGATAATATTCAGTAATATGAAACTTTCAAACTTCTGTATATGTATGGTTTCCACTTTGAGATACAGTATGAGATTTTTGTTATGAAATATACAAGATAATAAATGAATTCTACATATTTTACCATTAGTGAAATTATAATTATAGCTTCTACTTCTATCTTAGGGTGTATCTTCCAATAATAATAAATTCTTATAAATTTTTTATATCATTAAATTATTAATGGTGGAAAAATTGAGTAAAGACAATGAAATTTCCAGCTAATTTTTGAAAAATAAATCTTAATTGCATAAAAATATGTTTATCTTTCTAATTTTGAGTTAACAGAGGCATGGCCTTTGTTTTAATTGTGGTCTTTTTGTTTTGTTTTTAAATATATATTTTATTGATTTTTTTACAGAGAGGAAGGGAGAGAGAGAGATAGAGAGTTAGAAACATTGATGAGACAGAAACATCGATCAGCTGCCTCCTGCACACCTCCCACTGGGGATGTGCCCACAACCAATGTAGGTGCCCTTGACTGGAATTGAACTTAGGACCCTTCAGTCCACAGGCTGACGTTCTATCCACTGAGCCAAACCAGTTTCGGCTAATTGTTTTTATTGTTAACATATACAGTAAATTTTACATAAAACAAATGTTATTGAGAACAATAAATCCTGTATCTTTTCTAATAATCACAATATATATCCCCGGAAAAATAAAATCTATTTGACCTTAGCAATTAAAAAAATTAACATAAGAGCTATATGTAACTAAAGAAATACATGACATGAGAGCAGAAAAATGGCAAACATAATGATAGAGTATGGGGAAGAATTTAAGACTTGGTGTTTAATGTTTAGCTTTTTAGAGTTAAATTGATAAAGGAATTCATTTTACATTAGATTGACATGATTTTCCTTCAGAGTTTATATAAAATTAGTTTTGGCTCTCAGAAAGAAACAAGCACAAGAAGTAATATTACAAGTTCTAGGGCACTCAAATGATGTTTTCATACATTTACAATGTTAAAAGATTAAGTGGAATATTCTTTTACTCACAAAATTAAATTGAGCCTGGCTTGGGTTGAGTTCAGTGGTTGAGCATCAACCTATGAACCAGGAAGTCATGATTCAATTCTAAGTCAGGTCACATGCCTGGGTTTTGGGCTCCATCACCAGTGTAGGGCCTGCAGGAGACAACCAAACAATAATTCTCTGTCATCACTGATGTTTCTATCTCTCTCTCCCCATCTCCCTTACTCTCTGAAATCAATATAAATATTTTTAATTAAATTTGAAAATTCATATATTATTTAAAACTAAAATTATAAATTATCTACTTCAGCGATTTAATTCAACTGTCAAGCTACATGTAAAGAAACTGTTTCAATATTTTAAAGCCAATATAAAAAAGTTCCCTAAAATGTGGCTCCAAGAATATAATATAACCTACTTAATGACAATAGTGATATGTTTAGAAAAATATTAACAGTCATAATAAAGAATTTTAACATAGTTCTGATAATTAAATTTTAATTTAAAATAAATGAAGTTTTCAAAATAAAATTGAAAATAATTTTAATCACTGAAGCCACCAAGTGGAGAAAGCTTAGTATTGCATCAAAATTCCTCTAGTACTCAATTATTGTATGCATGGCTAAATGATGCATATTTCTTGGAAACTAGATAATTAAATAATATATCCCATGTAATCAATTAATACAGCTTCATCGCAAAAAAAAATTTTGCAAATTATTAGAAAATAGTTATAAAATGTATTCCATTAGGGTTTGGGACCTACATAAATGAATACTAAGGCATTATAAAATATACTAGAGTCCCAATGCATGAAATTCATGCAAGAGTAGGCCTTCCTTTCCCCAGCTGCTGGCACCAGCTTCCCTCTGGCACCCAGAACCCGAGCTTCCCCTGCAGCCCTGGCTTCATCCAGAATGTTGTCAGGATGTTCTGTCTAATTAACATATTATGCTTTTATTATTATAGATTTCATGAATTTGGAACTGCATCACCCACTGCATTCCCCTGCGGGGTTGGTCCTCTGAGACCAGAGTGACAGAATCACAGAGGAGGCATTCACCTTTCCATGGAGCATAGGCTATTTCTCACCCCCACCATCTCCCCTCCACTCCTCCCCAGAGATCTTCAAAACCAGAGAAGTACAAAAGAGCTAAAAAAAACACTTGGGATTCAGCACCACCAACTGGAAAACAACAGAAAGACTTATCAATCTATATGCCACTTGTACATAAACACCTAGACAGAGAAGAAATCCATCAAATGCCATGAATAACCAAAGTAATTATTATTATCATTATTATTTGTAAATCAATAAAATTATGCCTATTTTTTGTATGCCACAGAATTCAGTAGTTTATGTATGCCATGAGATTAAAAGGTTGAAAACTTTTTACAATTCAATCGTTAAATGTTGCTCCTAGACAATTTAAAATTATATACGTGACCACATTACATTTCTATTAGACAAATAGAAGTTTATTGTAAGCATGTATCAATGAAATGATAAAATTGTGGTCTAGTGTAACTACAAATGGAGTAAAATGGAAATAAATATTATAAAAGAATAAATCAAACAGTACAATGGTAAGGAGAGGGATGATAATAACAAGAATCTGAAATTGGGTGACTAGTTGTACAACTGGTAGAAAGAAGTTCATAGGTGGAGAATTGATGTGAAGTGAATATTAAAATATTTAGTTTTAGACATGCTGAATTTGAAATGATGGTAGGATATGCAAAAAAAAGAGAAGGTAAGGAGAATATAAAAGATAAAGTCACTGATGTGGCCTGAGTGGGGCCAGCGGATGGTTTTGCTGCAGAGTGAGCAGTTCCTGACGGAGCTGACCAGGCTCTTCCAGAAGTGCCGGCTGTCGGCAGTGTGTTCATCACCATGAAGAAGTATGATGGCCAAACTAAACCCCTTCCAAGGAAAGGTTCAGTGGAGAGCTTTCACCTCAGACAATAAAGTCTGAGAGCTACTGATGGGAAAAAGATTAGCACAGTGTGAGCTCCAAAGAAGTGAATAAGCTTCAGATGGCTTACGCAAACCTACTGAGAGCAAACATGGATGGGCAGAAGCAGAGGGACAAAAAGAGCAAGAGTAAGAAGACAAAGCAGCACAGTGAAGGCTCCAGATGCCCTGCTGTCACCAGCTAACCTCCAAAATGCTATTTTTCTTTTGGTTTTTATTTTTGGCCGCAAAACTTTTGGCCCTACATTAACTGTTTTCATGTGAGATTATGTTCATTTTGCACAGAAGAAGAGCTGTGGTGTTTACAGGGTAGTTATAAGAAGCCAGTTTATTTTAGATCTGGCTATATGGTCTATGTTAACTACTTACATATTCCTAGATTTTAGTTAAAGACTCTGCAGACATCTGTGTGAAGAACAATGCATCATTATACCTGTCTATTTATTTTTTAAAAAGAGATAAAGTTACTGAATATGGCAAAAGGGATACAGATGTATACTAATTAATAATATCAGTAAAATTATGAGGACAAAAGCCATATTGTAAAGGGTTAAGGAATAATAGTAAATAAATACATGTATTGGAGTATAGATCATACTTTTGAGAAGTTGTCACTGAATGAAAACAAAAATAGGGTGAGAGCAAAGAATAAGCATGAGGAAAGGGTTTTGGTTTTGGTTTTGGTTTCCAAGAGGGAATGGAATCTACATGCTTATCTTTTCATTCATTAATTTAGTAAATCAGTCAGTCTTTCAAAAACACAGTTCTATGCCTCAGACATCTAAGTCATTCAAGCTCTATAAGAAAGTTGGAACAAGCATAAAGAAAAAATAGTAATAAGAAAAAGAAGATCAAATAAGTGGAATGAACATATGAACAAAGATACACACACACACACACACACACACACACACACACACACACGTCTTTTAAGGGGAAGTGCAAGCACCTGGGCTAGCTGAGTAAAGGAGTAAGAGTATATAACAAGATAGAGAAGCAGGGACCAGACCAAGGAGTGACTCAGCCACAATAAAAACATTTGCACTTCATCCTCAGGATCAAGGTGAGCCATTAACTAGTTTTAAATAAGGACCTGTACTTTTTTAATAGTTTTGCCAACAGACTGTGGGATAGACTGGAGAAGACCAAAGGAGAAATATCAGATAGGAAAATACTGTAATCATCCTCATGCAGGATAATGAAGGCCAAGCGTGTCGAACTCAAGCACGGGTCAAATAAACAATTTGACAGGCTTGATGAAGGCCTTAATTTGACTTTGGAGGATTTTCTTCCCTGTCCGAGCTTCCTCAGTGGAGCAAACACAATCTAAGCATACATACAAGTTGACTGAGCTGGAAAAAGAACCAAAATGGAAACCAAACCCAAAGCTGGGCTCTCAAGTCAGAATGAGGGCTTACTCAAAACAGGAAGGAGGTATAGACTAAGGACTTATGGATCATATGGGTGGGCCTGGGCTTCCCTCCTCATTTCCTGAGAAGGAATGATCTTTTCCCCTATTCATAAACAAGTACAGCTCGGGCGGCATATATGGGTTAGTTAGATGTCATCGACCTAGAATCTAGTTGCTGGCCAACCTACTTTAGAAAGAAAATTCAAATCTTCTACCATAAATTATATAGTTATATTTATGTATATCTTCATTTTAAGGAAAAGATATCAAAACTATTAAATGCTGAGTAGCTCTCCAAAAGCATAATATGAGTCAAACTTGAACCAGAATATAAGATTAATTTCCTCACTCCTAGCATCATTACATCTGCCCGTTAAGCTACTTCCCATCAAAATGATTTAAAGTTATTCTTTTTTTCCCCCTAATGCTATATGACTCAATGATACCACATAAATCTCAAGGTAATATTGGAGTTATATTTCCTTTAGGAATGCAAAGGGAATTTCTAGTTGATAGCAAAAAGAAAAACAATACTAAATGGTGGGGTTTTTTTCTAAATTTAAGGAGTTCAGTTCTACATATTACTCTTATATTTTTAAAAATTTTTTTTAAATAGAAGCTCATTCTTAGCAACAATATAGCCTGGCTCCCTGTATATACACAAACTTAACTATGGGGATCACAGCATAAAGGTTAACACTATGGGCTTTAAAATAAAACATACAAATGTTTTTCATCACAATTCTGACAAACCACGTGATCTTGGGCAAGTGACTTAACTTCTTAAGTCACAGTTTCTTCATCCATAATAGCAACTCCTTTCGAGGACCATGATGAGGATTAACTGAAAAAATGCACTTAAAGGCTTATCATAATTCCTCGCTCTGGAGTTACTGCTCCCTTATGTGCACTATTAACAGTAGTAATAGTCCCCCTCAGATTCATGGCAGAAAGCTTAGAAGATGGAGGTAAGGCTCTCCTGTGAGCCTTCTGTTTTGCTGGTACTCGTGGCATGGAATTATGTCATATTTGAGCGCATGGCAGGGAGAATGGCAGACTTCTCTGTGTTTTCCAGGAGCACTGGGACTACACCACACACACACAGCTCTAAAATCTAAGCAGATTTCAAAGTTGCTTAAATAGTACTTTTTGGCCAAGAGTCATGTACACTGCCAAATGGCAATGGAATGATTTTCCACTCAAACTTGGCAACAGCAGGATTTAAACAGAAAACTCGGAGGAAAGGAAGGGAAATGATATACTTCCTTCCTCGGGGCAGTTTTGGACTCTTTAGCACCATAGATAAAAATTATAAAGAGAGAACTTTGGGGTATTATAGTATTTATATAATGTATCAGAAATAAATTGAAAATGAATTGCAAGCTACCATCAGAACCCCCTTTCTGCCACGTTTTCATATCTGTGAAGTCTTTTTCAAAAGAAATTGGAATTTCTTCCTTTGGGTGCTCTTACTTGAGTAGTGAAGATATTTGAGTCAAATGGGAGACACTTGACTTCAGTGATCCTGCAAAAGTTCTTCTATTCTTTGAAAATATAAAATAGAACCCAATAGCAAAATAATTGTTTGCATATTTCCATTATTCTTAATTGTAAGAGGAATCAGGGGAAATGTCAATGGATGTTTAAATCTTCTCTAAACTGAATTCCAATCCAAAGTATCCTGGTGGCATTCTAACTAAATTTAAAAACTTGCAAGGATAAAGGTTCTATGCTTCCTCAGAAAACCCTACTGCAAAGTACTAACAGGAAATGTTTTCTTATTTATGTATACATGGCTTACTTCCAAAAAAAGATTTGAGGCAAGGCATAAAGATATATAGATATAGATATAGATATAGATATAGATATAGATATAGATATAGATATAGATATAGATATAGATATAGATATAGATATATCACATTGAGATGGGAGAAAAACATAAATGAGGAAACTAGGAGAAAAATAAAACAATTGTAAGGGGAAAAAATAAGATATTAATGCTAAATGTGGGTCACAAACTTGCTCTAAGCATCCTAGCACTCAGTAAAAAGAGGTCACTTACATTACTTACTACCTATAAAAATAACAACAATAATTTGCTTAAGCAAACTTATTGTTATCTAATACATTCTTCCTGCTAGGGTTTGTAACAACTTTCCTATAAAAAGGAAGGCTGTCATTTAGGATATAGAAAACAATTTTCATATATTTCAGAGATTTCTACTGTTATATTTAGGTGAAAGATGTCATGACATCAGCAAAAATAAATAAATATTCCTAGTTAAGACAAAGAGAAAACAGCTAATAAACATATTCTAAATAATATTCCCCTGTGTAAGATTAGCAGTTGATGCTCCTTTAAAAAAATCTGTAAGAAATATTGTTTGATTTCCAATGATGAAATTAGTGTACTATAAGATGCTATAGATTAGAGACTAATAGTTTCGTATTTTATGGAATTATATGTCTGTGGTAGATAGAATAATGGCCCTCATAAGATGTTCACGTCCTAATCCTGGAAACTTGCGAATGTTACCTTACATAGCAAAAGGAACTTTGTAGAGGTAATTAAGTTAAGAACTTTGAGATGGTAAATTATTCTGCATTATCTGGATTGGCTCAATTCTATATAATAAAAGCCTAATATGCTAAGTGTCCAGTGCTTGGTTGGCCTTTCAACCAATCAAAGCATAATATGCTAATGATGTGCTAAGACCATTCAACCATTTATTATGATGTGCATTGACCACCAGGGAGCAGATACTCCAACAAGGTTAGCTTGCTGCTGAGGTCTGGCTGATTAGGACTGAGAGAGATGAGCTGGACACGCCCTAGAGCCCTCCTGTGGTCCCTCTCCAGCTGGCCAACATCCCACATCCCTTTTCAGACCCCAATTGTGCACAGGTAGAATCCCTCAGCCTGGCCTGCACCCTCTCTAAATCCAGCACCCCTTGGAGGATGTCAGAGAGCTGGTTTCTGCCCAATCCCACAGGCCAGGCTGAGGGACCCCACTGGTGCACAAATTCAAACACCACGCCTCTAGTATAATCATAAGAGTCCTTTTAAGAGGGAGGCAAAAGAGTCAGCATCTGAGAGGAGAAGAATGATGACAGATGCAGAGGTTGGAGTGATACAGGAAGGGGACATGAGCCAATAAATCAGATGACATGTAGAAGCTAAAAAAAAAAAAAAAATCAAGAAAATGAATTCTTCCCCAGAACTTCTAGAAGGAATGCAGCCCTGCTGACACCTTGATTTAGGATTTC